ATTTCAATTTGTAACACACTTTTCTCAATTCAAGCAGTGTGCTCAATGCATTTTGAGCTTGTCATTGTTTTCTGCTTAAACGAAAATATATTTGAAATTGAAATAATATCTATAAGAAGCTTTATTATCTATGGGATGTTGAGAATAATTTTGGTCATGAATAATAAGCCATAGCCTGAGTTCTAGCAAGTTGAGTACAACCGTTTCTTGTGCACTGCTTATGCCTTTACGAGATACGGCGCTTAACACTTGAGCCACTGTAAAAGAAAAGTATACTGTAAGTACGAGTAAATAAGGACATCTGTCTAATGCCTTGTTTCTGACAAACGAAAAGGCTTTGCATTTTACTGAGAAGTTTTGACTAAACAATGCTATAATGTAGAGGTTAACCACGTTACACAACATATTTTTTCAGCAAGGTTGACATACTACGAAGCTGAAAAAATTGAATTATCAAATAGTCAATATAATTTATCAATCGAAAAAATTATTAATCAAAGTGATTTTATAAACTAATTTGGCAATAAATAGGAAAGACACACACATTTAATCTTTTTACGATTTACTAACCGTATTTTCTTACCAAAGTTTCTACAATAAATCATTAAAAAATATTTTTAATGGGTGCACAAAGTATACTTAGCCCAACTAGTATCAAATTAAAATTAGACTATCACGCTACTTTACTCCGAACATTAGCTTAATTTTAGGTCTAGAATAAAAATAAAAAAACTTCCGAAAATAGCAAGTTTTGACCAATTTTTTCTTCGATGATGAAGAAAAAAAGCTTACATAATATTGCATTTTCTTTTATATTTTTATCGTTAACCATTTTTTATAGAACACATGTTGAGACAAGTCTTGAACATCAATACTTATATTCACTCGCAAACAGTAACACTATTTATAAAAATATGATGTAAAACTTTTCTTTCAAAAGAATAGATAACTCAGTAATTTTTTTTTTTACGGGGTTACCGCGACAGCGTACTGGCCTAGTCGCCGGGGTCACCCACTCACCACCAATGTGTGGGTGTGTATTGCCGCACCTACTTTCCAACCCTTTTACTGATGTTATACTTAATCCATGGGCACAGTGCGAGTATCCCCGGTAAAACACCTTGCTAGTTAAGCTGACACTTTCCCCGGAGAGGACTACATACTTCAGGACATCCACTCCTCGCCGCTTAAGCTGGCGCTCTCTGCCGAAGCATCGGATCCAGGCTAATTAGCATTCCCGGAGAAGCCCCATGTTTCAGGAACCACTCCTCGCCGGTAAGGCCCGCGATCCCTGCCTGGCGCATCGGATCCGCTAACTCTTACTTAAAGCCCTAACACTGTTTCGCATTCACCCAGGCCCGAAGACCTGTGGGGACAGGAAAAAGCCCTGGAATTACTCTGAAGGAAAATTCCACGAAAAAACCCGCCCCGAAACAGCCGAGGTTGCATAGGAACTTTTCCTGATGAAAACAGTTTTTGAAAAAATCTGCATTCACCAGGAATCGAACCCACGACCCCTAGAACAGCGTTGTATCAGTAACAAGCACGCTTACTACTGAGCCAACACAGTTTTGTTAAGTTGTCTTTTGTTTATTACACTTTTGCTGGTCTACTTATTAATATTATTACTTACAGTAAGTCAGGCGGAAAAATTTCTCTCAAAGTTTCTTCTAAAATAGCCCCATCACTTTCATAATCTTTTTTTATAGGTGTTCTTATTCTAGATGAACGTTTTGCACTGCCACTCCATGCCCACTGGGTTAAGAAACATAATGAACTTCTTCGACGTTTTTTTCCTTTATTTGCTTTATCTTTTTCTGTAAAATTGTCACAATTTATATGAAACTTAATTGCACCACTAAATATGATATTGCTTAAATTAAAAAAAAAAACATTATATCAGTACCTGATTCTTTTCTGTCAGTTGCATTTTCTTTTGTATAACAAACGGAATCACTTGTTTGGATCTTTCTAAGGCTTGAATTGTTGTCTGGAATTGACCGAAATTTTTTTCTATTAGAATGAATAACATCTACAGAAAATCGCATTTCTTGTGAATTGGTGGTTGAATGTGACAAATCACAGTCCTCAAACTTTAATCCTACTGAATTTGGAGAAAACACATCGACCTCACTTTCTTGTAATTTTCCTACATTTTGATTGACTTCATCATGACTAGTTGTAGTTATAAGAGGGAAATGTGAATCTAAACTTAAGAATTGAAATTGGACAGAATAATTTAAATTACGGTTTTTGTCAACCATGTTATTATAGGTATCTAGTAAAGTTTTTCCTAACTCTACCCAAGAATATTCTTTCATTGATTTAACTCTGATTGGGTCAATTTTAAAATTTCCGGATTTATTAAATTTCTTAAGCCATTGTTTGTGGATATTATCAACTTCATCCATTAAAGTATCTCTCAAATGAAAATTGAACTGATCACAAACAGATAGTTCCAATGATTTGATATTGTTATAATGTATGTAACAACGTCCGTAGAAAGAAGAATCACTCATTATTTTTTGATAAAAAATTAGTCCCTTATAATATGATGGATCCTTTTTTAATGCTAGGAAAATATAAAAAAGACAACTTATATAGTCAGGAATGGCAAACAAAATAGTAATAATTTTGTCTAAACATGGCCAATGGTTTGTGTTACACTTGAGACCTTGTGCAAAAGCAAAACAACTAAGTTCTAAATCAAACATCCTACAAGCTGTTTGGCCAATTTTGTACCAAAGCGTAACATCTGTATCATCTAACTTTGATGCTTCCCAGTAATGGCACAAAGCATTGGGATATTCTTCCAATTTATTGTAAATATTTGCAATATTTTTGTAGCAAGAATACTTCAAAGAAAGCATTGGTCGGCATGCTCCTTCATAAAATAGAGGCTTCAGAACTTTTTCTAAGAGCTCTGTATTAACAAGATCTTGAAAAGTAGATAAAGCATCTTTGAAGTTTTTATCTACCAATAATTTTAGAGCCTTATTATATTCGTTCATAACTATCTGTTCCTAAAAGTAAACAGCTTACTCAAGTACTACAAACAAGGAATATTTTGCATTCTAATTGCCATGTTATTTGAATAAATAAACAAACTTACTTGCGCTTCTGTTGAAATTATGTTATTAAAAGAATCATCGACATCATTTGTCGATGCTTCATTTAGAGCTTTAATTTTCATCATTGTTTATCACAAAATTTTATTATACGGTCTTTTGGAGCTAGCAGATTGTACAATGCACAGTAATATGGATGCTGTCAAACACAGAATGCAAGGTGACAGTGTTAAACGTACATCACTGTAGTCCGTATTCTATGGCCGCAGTCACATGGAGACCGTAAAGGCCGCGGTCACATGGAGAGCGTAAAGTCGTAAAGGCTGCGGTGCAAGATAAGACAGATGGTACGAAGAACCACCTCTATGCTTTGTGCAGTCCCGGTCTGTCGCAGGAGCTATTCACATAGACATTTTTGAAGTGAAAACTTCTTATGGCACGTTGGGCACTTTTGTGGGTGAGCATTTTCGGCCGTTCTCGCGACAGACAAGATTTTATACAGATATATTCCGCGTGTATTCTTGTAATGTATGTATATTGTACGCACTCTTTGCATGGGCATTCGTTCGTGCTCTCGCGACAGACGAGATTACATACCTATATGTATACTCAGAGTGTATAGGTATGCGAGAGCGCTGCATGCTATACGCAGCGGAGCAGCGTTGGTCTGAGCATTATTCCACGATCACAGTTCATGCTTGATCGCACATAGCGCCGCTGCCTGGATCTCACCACGAACTACTTGGCGCGAGAAGTCAAATTCAAAATCGTATGATTTTTTCAGCAGACAGAAGGCGCAGAAATTAAAATTCGAAAGAAATCTTTGTATGTATTGGCTAATTAATGCCTAAAAATATTGGATAATGTTGTATGATTACATACATAAATAGTATACCAAGAATTCTTTCGAATTTGAATTTCCGCGCCTACTGTCTGTTGAAAAAATCATACGATTGTGAATTCAAATTCTTGCGCGAAGTAGTTCTCGGTGGGATCCAGTCAGCGGCGCTATGTGCGATCAAGCATGAACTTTGAACTGTGAGCGTGGAATAATGCTCAGACCAACGCTGATACGCAGTCTTTGCATAGGCATTCGTTCGTGCCCTCGCGACAGACAAGATTGAGAGTTTTTGATGTGAAACATCTATTGCAGCGCTTGGGGGGTAAAAGCGAGCCTTGCGAGCCGTCGCCAGGCTCGTAAGCGGGCTCTCCCCCCACTCCTAGCTAGTATCGCCCCACCAGAGCTGCGTCGCCACACATGAGCCGCGTCGCCACGCAAGAACCGCGTCGCCACGCAGCAGCGCCAGACCCAAGCGGGCTCTCTCCCCACTCCTAGCTACTTAGCGCACCACGCCAGAGCCGCGTCGCCGCNATAATAACACAGCTCCACAAAAAAAATCGAAAGTCTTAGTGCAGAGACCTGACATACCCTCCTATTGTAATCGACGACGCTGAATTTCAATCCGAGGTCAATTTTACTCTATCACGTCAGGATTTTTCATAACCTCAAAATTTAAGCCCGAAAACCCCATAACACATAAACCATTTAATGCCCGAGTATCTTAGCCCAAGTAACGCTATAACCTTATAATTCGATCATCCCTAAACTCCATTAACCCCAAAACCCTAAAACCCAATGACCCCATAACCTCCAAACCAGATGAGTAACAGAGGTTTGAGTCTCTAGTGCTGAGATGTCTAGGTCAATGTTGTGTTTCTCCACGGATAGCGAATCTCCTAATTCGTCAGGCCCCTTAACTACATAATTATTTTAAACAATAACTATATGACCCTATTCACTCATAACACTATAGTTAAACAACCTCAAATCCCAAAGAGTAATAAGCGCGTACAACACTAAGTACAGGAATGGAAGTTTGATGGACTGTTTGACAGTATCAATCTGTTTAAGTTTATTTATTCTAATCTTTAACTTTTCAAAATAAATCATAACTTTTAGCCCTCCAACCAAATATTTTATAAATCTAGTGGACTTCTAAGGGTTGGCGATATAATAGTTTGAAACTTCATTTTCTCTTCTAGAAAGTGCATAAGCCTCTTTTTCACTAGTTTTTAGGGTTTTAGGGTTATAAGGTTGTAGGGTAACAGAGATACTAGGTTATATAGGGTTATTGGGATGTACAGTTCATATTTTAATAAGTGACAAGGTTACGGTGACTGACGACTTAAGAATTTGGGAGTTATTGGGCTAATTTTTCTGGTTTTTAGGGTTTCATGGTAATCACGTTTTAGGGTTAATGGGCTAGTTAGTTATGAGGTAATACGGTCATACAGTTAATGTTTTAAGCAATTATGTAGTAAAGGGGCCTGACGAATCAGGAGATTCGCTATACGTGGAGAAACACAACATTGACCTAGACATCTCAGCACTAGAGACTCAAACCTCTGTTACTCATCTGGTTTAGAGGTTATGGCGTCATTGGGTTTTAGGGTTTTGGGGTTAATGGAGTTTAGGGATGATCGAATCATAAGGTTATAGTGTTACTTGGGTTAAGATACTCGGGCATTAAATGGTTTATGTGTTATGGGGTTTTCGGGCTTAAATTTTGAGGTTATGAAAAATCCTGACGTGATAGAGTAAAATTGACCTCGGATTCGAATTCAGCGTGGTCAATTACATATAGGAGGGTATGTCAGGTCTCTGCACTAAGACTTTCGATTTTTTTTGTGGAGCTGTGTTATTGAAGAAAAGCTTTTTAGCGTGGGCTTGCAAGCGCGGCAGGACTATAGAAATTAGCTTTTTGTGTTTTCGTTTATGTTTAAATTCATAATGAATCCCAGTATACGATTGCATTGGATAACTAAGGATGAGCTGCTTGGGATTTTGTTTAATTAGGTACTAAACAAAAGCACGGACAAGCGAGTGCGTTGGGTCGTTAAGGAATACTGGCTTGGGATTTTGTTGGTTTTTTACGCAAATAAAACTGCAGAGAAGCGAGCGCAGTGAATACTAAGAATATGCTGCCTGAGATTCAAGCGATGATAGGTAGGATGTTATTCAAATAACAGTAATTTTGTTTTGTTAACTGAGATTGTTTACTTGAGATAAGATACAACTCGTATTTTACTCTAAAAAGCATAAAAAACTTTTAATGCAGTGATCAGCTAATCAGGAGGCTGGGAACAAGCGACCTTCTATATTGGATTTCCCACCAATGGGCGTTGAGAGCGCGTTGTTCAACTACTACTGCACGTAAACAAGAGTAGAGAGTAAAAAATTTCATCGATATTTAATACAATTAAAACTTGTAAGGTGCACATTTTTATATATAAATATAATGTTATAAAATCGTCTGATTATTTGTCAAATATACAATGAACACAGTATATTAAATATTTTAACGAACAAATTTTACAACTTTTTCTTTCATAAGAATTTCTAATATAAGAAATTAGTTTTTTTGTTTATTTCTGGCAATCTAAATTACGTTATCGTACATACGAGGCTTTTGATTTAATACTGCTTTTCAAGGTTAGTTCTATTTATTTTTAGCAATAAAGTGTAAGTAGTTGAACAGCGCGCTCTCGACGCTCATTGGTAGAAAAATCCAAAACGGAAGGTCACTTGTTCCAAGCCTCCTGATTGGCTGATTAGTTCGGTGGCTGAAGAGCCCATTTTTTGTATTTATTACACCATGATAAGGTCGATGTTCCAGTACTCGATCATATCCTGATAGTCATTTGACTGACTTTTTCAATATAAATTTTTAACACATAGATAAACAGCGAAGTTATTCAGACACTAAACAATTATTTTTTCGATACAAATTCACGTATATATCGACGGCTCGTACGAAAAGAATCACACTGCAGATACATACGAAAACTATACCAGCTAAGAGCTTCTCACGAAGTCTATCATAGTTTACGAAGTCTGGCGAAGACTAACTTACACACTCGCGCTCCGCCGAAGACAATCACGCATAGCAACACTCTTACGAAAGAAAGCATAGTATGCGTAGTTGGACGAAAAATATCACAGCTAAGTGCAATATGACGAAAACAATCACGGCTTACTATACTCCGACGAAGAAAATCACACCTCCTAAAGTCTAACGAAAAATATCAAGACTTACTACGCTCTAACGAAAACTATCACGGATAGCAACACTCTTACGAAATATATCACAGTTCGTAGAGTTAAACAAAAAATATCACTACTAACTGCTATCCAACGAAGACCATCACGGTATCTTTTAGCCAACCGAAAAGCTTTACAACTCGTCTAGTTGAACAAAAAATAGAGCACGTCTTACTACGCTTCAAGGAA